CCACCCACACACACACACACACAATATTCTGCTGCTGTTTTCTTGACACAGCAATTATAATTATAAGGCTTAAATATAAACTTCTTAAATACAAAAATTAAAAAAACAATCTATTGCTGTAAGCTTTCCACTAGATATCTGACTTGTGAACATGTATTATTTACTGAGTCCTTGTAAGATCTTTCAATATAAACCTGTATGATGCAAAACATGAAATATCTTTGTATGTGTCTATGCATATGTCTATAATTGAATGTAAATAACCAAGTACTACACAGATTTTTTATATAGTATAAGTATACAAATATATTTACACCAATACTTCTGATTTCTCATTAATAATCATTAGGATAGGATATTGTATAGGAGACTTACCCCCTGTGTGGTTTTGGTAAAATGATGTGAAGTTGTCTAAACTCCTCATTCTTCATATTTCATTATCAATTTTTATGTTTGGTTAAGGAAACTTATAATAAATGTTCTTGCTTTACTAATGAAAATAAATATCTAAAGACCTGCTTTGATTAATCTTAAGATTGATATCTTATATACTTCAAATAAATTGCGGATCTTGCTGTTGTCAAAGTTGTTTTCAACAGTTAATTTTTTCAAGTTTCATATTTCCACCTGTGTTTTGTATTTGTGGTTTTATTAACTTGTCTATTTGAGTAAGAAAACAATACATGGAGAAACTGTTAGACTGTCATTAGGGAAATCTTAAACCTTCGGTAATGATGGATCTTTTTAAAAAGAATTATTTTATATCTTCCTCATTTATTTGAAAAAGAAGAAAAAAACCCAATATGATTTCATTACAACAATACATTGAAAAGTAAAGGTAAGGTCATCAGTTGTTATTATAATAATCAAGTCATCATTTGTGCATCAAGGGAGATAACCCAGTTTAAATGGAGGTTGGATTTAATGCAACATTTTTAACTTCATCTTCTTCTGGTATTTGGCTTTTGTCCTGTCATCATTAACAATTTCATTTTATATGGAAATTTTAATGAAAGTACCATAAACAAATTTAATTTCTGTACAATTTTTATACGCCCGTCGGACAAGTTCGATAACCGCCATTATCCGACCATAATTTGTGGAGTTATGCCCCTTTATGGGCTTGCCGAAACAGTGTCCGCTCGATATCTCGAGTAATTATTAACGGATTAACTTTAAACTTTACAACAAGGTTAACTACCATGTAACCTAGGACAAGTTCGATAACCGCCATTATCCGACCATAATTTGTGGGGTTATGCCCCTTTATGGACTTGCCGAAACAGTGTCCGCTCGATATCTCAAGTAATTATTAACGGATTAACTTCAAACTTCACAACAAGGTTAATTACCATGTACCCTCGGACAAGTTCGATAACCGCCATTATCCGACCGTTATTGTTGGAGTTATTCCCCTTAGTTTCATTAATGCGATGCATGTGTTCCATGATGTTGAATTGCACTCATTGATCTACCAGTTATGTTGAATGATTTCTCTTTTAATATCAATTACTCACAAATACTTCATATATTTCAATCATACAAACAACTGCTCATTCAATGTGTGACGGGCGTATTATATACCGCTCGCGGTAACCTTGTTGAGATTTACATTCGTTGTGTAAACAAAAATGTCTATGACAGGAAAATTTCTACCATCGTATAATTTAATTTACATTTAAAGACATTTTCAGTGTTGTTTCGATATTGGCTTTTTCCGTTTATTTTTATTTATTTTTTAAGATTTTATTCTGTGTTGTGTGCCAATGTATAACCAGACTGTTTTTGTTTTACATTAATGATTATAATATTCTTTAATTATTCATTATCAGCATTTCATCTTGAAATGTTTACTCTGAATATAGTGCATTCAGGATGTATTTCTATGATTCTGCTTGTCAATTTCCTGTTTCTGTTTTTAGAATTTCTTTTTTCTTTAAAAGCACAAAATAAAATCCACCTAAGTTTGATGTATTTTACCCCTAAATCAAGTAATGAAGTATTGAGGGGTTAATTGTAAAAAAAATATGTGAATTTTGATATTGTGTAACAGTAACAAGTAACAGAAAACTGTACGTAAATTTTAACTAAAATTATCTTTAATGATTTACAGTAAATAGAATCTGAATTTGATATGTAGCAATATTTTATTCAGATCGTAAATTCCGTGAAACTTGCTGGGACCTTAATGAGAGAGGAACAGTTGGGGAGTCAATCCTCCATCTGTGCCTGCTCAATGCCTCTGCTATCCATGCTGACTTGTCCAAGCGACTCCTCCAGGCTTACCCCAAACTTATCCTTGACATCTACACCAGTGAGGAGTACTATGGTAGGTATCATATACATCTCAAAAGTGATGGAAAGGGATACCTTTTTGAACATGTTGATAAAGGGAGATAACCTCAGTCTATAATCAAACAGGTATTATACTCGGATTGCTTACCCATAGGCTCCCCATGTGAGGTAAACATTAGTATGACAAGATTTCTGTTGATATTTTTTTTATATATTTGTTATAATAATGGGCTTAATCAAATTATTTTTTCAAGTGCAGATAACTTTTACACCTTGGTATCATCTTTGCTGTGAATATCAATCCAAACTTCAAAAGCTATTGCAATCATTGATGTTTAGGGGAAAATGTGTTACACATGGCGGTGGTCAACGAAGATCCAGCCATGGTCAAGTTCTTACTGGATAAGGGAGCTGACGTCCATGCTCGGTGTTGTGGTCGGTTCATGTGTCCAGATGATCAGAAAGATTCTAGGTCAGACAGTCTTGACCACGAGTGGGTGGATGTTTGTGAGACTACAAACTATGATGGGTAAGTTAACTGGAGCTTTTTTTATTATTTGACCTAAATGTCACAGTAAATATTTGTTACTGTGATTGTAAAGATGTCTGCACTTTGATTCCTATTTAAACTACTGTGTTCCTAATGTAGACATTTTATTTGGCAATGATGCTGCAATACGTATTTGATAGTATATCAACGTGTGCTCATCATCATACATGTATATTTCTGAACTGTTGTAATTAGCTATTACAAAATAAGCAAGGATAATGTGAGTTCCAAAGTAGGAGATTTTAATATTTTGTGATTGGCTCAGTAATTCAGCAATTACTAGTAAACATATGTTCTTGACACATTTGAGGAAAATGAGCACTAGTGTTAAAGTGACTCTTTTAGTATTGAGTTTATAAGTAACACAGATTGACTTAAAAGCATGAATGCTGCTAACCCCGTAAACAATACAGGTACTGGTAGGTATTGTGACAATACATGTACTGGTAGGTATTGTGACAATACTGGTACTGGTAGGTATTGTGACAATACTGGTACTGGTAGGTATTGTGACAATACTGGTACTGGTAGGTATTGTGACAATACATGTACTGGTAGGTATTGTGACAATACATGTACTGGTAGGTATTGTGACAATACATGTACTGGTAGGTATTGTGACAATACAGGTACTGGTAGGTATTGTGACAATACAGGTACTGGTAGGTATGGTGACAATACAGGTACTGGTAGGTATTGTGACAATACAGGTACTGATGGGTATTGTGACAATACTGGTACTGATTGGTATTGTGACAATACAGGTACTGGTGGGTATTGTGACAATACTGGTACTGATGGGTATTGTGACGATACAGGTACTGGTAGGTATTGTGACGATACTGGTAGGTATTGTGACGATACAGGTACTGGTAGGTATTGTGACAATACAGGTACTGGTG